TGCTTGATGTCCGAAATTTGTTCCACAAGGTCCTGCTTTTCTCTCATCTCATCTATAATGTTAACGGCTATACGGGCTTGCTGCTTCAGAGCTTGATATAAGACAGCCATTTGCGAGACATCAGCACCTATTTTTCGGCTCAGATTTGATATTTTAAGTTTTTGTTCCGAATTAAGTTTGCCCTCTGTGGCAATAGTGCAAACTTCATGTAACAGGTCTTCAATGTTTGACATCCAATTTTGAATATCGGGCGTCGACACAGCTTCTATCGAGAAGTCAGAATTACGGCTGCTCTTTAATGGTGAAGTACAGGAAGCCAGCTTACTCGGGTTTAAATCCATCTTTGAAACAACTAAGTTTGTATTTCCATTATTTATAACGAGGTATCACAATAAGCAGAATAATAATGTAGGTCACTATTATTGCTTTGATTCAATATTTCTAGTGTGCACGTCTGTTCACATCGAACGTCAAGAAAAGAATGAATTTTGATCGTAGCGTGATGTTTTATATAGCCTATGGTCTTCTTAGATAAATGTACTATCTTTTGTCTTTCTGTATTTCAGAATAAAAATGCAATGAAGGTGCATCTTCGAGTGCACACGGGAGAGAGGCCGTACGAGTGTCCAGTCTGTATGAAAGGTTTCATCAGCAAGGATACTATGATGGTACGTAACATTATGAAATACTAGTTTCAGCTACCGGCTTCTCCCACGTTGCCAACCTTTATACAAAGCAGCTATCTTTTTATATAAAATAGTAAATAAAAATAGAATTTAAGTAAATGTAAGTTTTGTTAAATCTGATTAGGGAATGATGGCTCTGGCATGGTCTTTGTGTGATCAAAAGACTCTAAATTAATAAAGATATAAGAAAACACAAAAAAATATTCACATCGAACTAGTAGTTTCGAAGAATAGTAGTAGCACGGAGTCTGGAATTGTGCCCGGTATATGGCAATACGCTCACCCCCTATTACATGGGACTCGTAACATAAATAGTGAAAAGTGGGTGTTACATTGTACAGTGGCATTAAGTGCCGTAATGTGCACCTCTGTCTACCGTAAAGGCGTGATGTTGTTATCACGTTTAGAAATGTAGTTTCTTTCCGTTTACTTCTATATTTTGTATAAAAAAATTATGTGCTAATAAAATTACCAAAAAATATCTATGGATATTATTATGTTTTCGGCTTACTCACGTAATTATTTGACGAGGAACTCGACTAGTTTCAAGCCTTGCTAGAGGCGTCGCGGGTCGCGAAATGCTGCTCATGAATATGAGCCTCTAGCAAGGTAAAAACTAGTCGAGTTCCTCGTCAAATAATTACGTGAGTAAGCCGAAAACATAATATATTGAGTCCTAGCGACCCGTCCCAGCTTCGTACGGGTGCAATATGCATGTATTATACATATAAACCTTCCTTAAGAAGCACTCTATCTATTAAAAGAAACCGCATCAAAATCCGTTGTAGTTTCAAAGATTTAAGCATACAAAGGAACATAGGGACAGAGAAAGCGACTTTGTTTTATACTATGTAGTTATGTCTCAGGAAAGTTATAATACAAATATCTGTAATTTAGATAATTAATATAATTATTTTTGTTATTTACAGAAACATAGGAATTACGTGCATTCTACAGCGCGTCCCTACGTGTGCGATAGATGTCCTAAATCGTTTAAAGGGAAACATAATTTGACGCAACACGAACGGGTAAGTTCTCTTCTAGTTCTTAACTGAATTCAAAAAAGAAGATGGTTCTCATTTTTACAGAGAGCCATACTTCGGCACTGCTGGGCCGGCTCGACCGGAGTGATACCACCAACGACCAGAAAACCATAGTGAAACAACCACAGCGTTGTGTTTCGTCGTGTGAGTGAGGTTACCGGAGGCCCAATTACCCTCTACCTAGTCTCCCCAATCCCTAAAAAGCTGGTAACGCATAAGCCGGTAAACGAGCAGACGGATCACCTGATGGTAAGCAATCGGCGTCGCCCACGGACATCTGGGACACCAGAGGCGTTACAAGTGCGTTACCGGCCTTTTGGGGATTAGGAGTTTGAGGATCGTTGGGAATTCAGGGATTGGAGTGATAGGGGAAGGGGGGGGGGATAATTGGGCCTCCGGTAACCTCACCCTCACGACGAAACACAACGCAAGCGTTGCTTCACGTCGGTTTTCTGATAGTGTTTTATAAAATGAAAAAAAAGATCACTATTGACTACATACATACATACATACCTTCACGCCTGTCTTCCATGGGGGTAGGCAGAGATTAGGGATCGCCAATTACTACGATTCCTACATACCTCTTTCGTATCATCAACAGTCATCAATCTTTTCACTAGTAACTAAATTATTATTATCGCGCATCGCGATCCCTTCAGCTATTTTGACGTGATGACGTGATACACATAAACATACAAACTTACACGCATTTTAATATTATTAGTAAAGATATATGTATTTTTTATTTGCAGGCAGTTCACGACAACGAGACTACTACAGCCAGCCAGACGTTGCTATCGCTCGGTCTAATATTATAGTAATTTGAAGAACTCCGGCTCGACCGGAGTTATACCACAGCCGAGCAGAAAACCATAGTGAAACAACCACAGCGTTGTTTCGTCGCGTGACTGAGGTTACCAGAGGCCCAACCCCCCCCCCCCAATCCCTTAATCCCAACAATCCTCAAGTTCCTAATCCCCAAAACGCCGGTAACGCACTTGTAACGCCTCTAGTGTTCCAGGTGTCCATGGGCGTCGATTGCTTACGATCAGGTGATTCGTCGGCTCGTTTACCGGCTTATGCCATAAAAAAATTACATCTGAAATTAATAATTCAACGTTACCTAAGTCCTTGATAATAATTATTTATTGAGCTAATGGTAACATTGTAAACAGTGACTCATGTAGTGTAGAGATTGTCCAGTCAACTGATGGTAACGTGGACTGTCCAGGCGATACGTACTTAGGTATCATCATGAGCTAATGGTAACATGTAAACAGTGACATTTGTGATGTTTTATATTGATTCAAATGGTTGATTGTCCAGGGGACCCATTGTAATTATTTAGTTTTTAATCATTAAATTGAAATTGTTGATTATAACACTTGTTTTTTATTGACCCTTACCTTTTGCCGGCTACCTCCCGTTCCCGTAGGATTTTCAGGATTATTCTGTCTTAAGAACCTTCTCCTAATAATAACAAATACCTACAACGAAAAAAAGAATTTGTGAAATCGGTCCACTGATGCCGTGACCAAGGGAAAGAGGGATTCATTTCTATATATATGTACTAGCGACCCGCCCCGGCTTCGCACGGGTGCAATATGCATGTATTATACATACAAACCTTCCTTAAGAATCACTCTATCTTATAAAAAAATCCGCATCAAAATCCGTTGCGTAGTTTTAAAGATCTAAGCATACATACGGACATACAGCGAAAGCGACTTTGTTTTATACTATGTATTGATATAGATATTTCTTATAAGTCTCTCACAGCTCCTATACAACGGTAGTTCTCAGTTTTGACCTGTATGTAAAGTCCACGATTAAGCAGATGGCATGGAGCAGTCATTCCATGATTTTCCCACCTTTAAAAAAAAACAATATCACGCCTTTTTATCCCCGAAGGGGTAGGCAGAGGTGCACACAGAAGTAACACTCACTTTTCACTGTTTATGTTATGTGTCCCATGTAATAGGGGGTGAGTCTATTGCCATATTCCGGGCACAATTCCAGACTCCGTGCTGCTACCTACTGAGATTATTTAAAAAAAAACCCAGTAAGTAATACTTTGTTCAACCCGGGAATGAAACCTAAGAACCTTTGCCCGGCAGTCGCACTTGCGACCACTCGACCAACGAGGCAGTTCAATTCAATAAAATCTTAATATTCAATGTCAACACTATACAATACAACAATCGTAGCTGTTACAATAGCATTCAGAGTACGGAATATAAAGACAAACTCAATACCGTTTAGTTCATTCAATATCCACGCAATATGAATGCAATGGGCGCTAGTGTTGCGACTCAAGAGTACGACACAATATCAATGTCGATCGATCGGAATTATCATTGGATTCAAAAGTAAGCCTCTGAGTCGTAGTATCACTAAGGCAAAGTAGGCAAGTGCAGGGCGCCAGATTACAGAGCGCCGCGAGATGTGCGGGCGACAACTGCACATAGTGACAACGGCGACAAAAAAGCGCCTATGAGTTACTCGCCTAGGCCGCTTTCAATGTATAATCTGTCTACGACTTGAGAATAGTGTGGCTATTAGCTCGATAGAAAGTGAGGGAGAGCCATACTTCGGTACGAATGGGCTTGCTCGACCGGAGTGATACCACCAACGACGAGGCGGCCAATTACAAATCTTCCCAATCCTTGAATCCCCAACAATCCTCAAATTCTTAATCCCAAAAGGCCGGTAACGCACTTGTATCTCCTCTAGTGTTCCGTGCGTCCATGGGTGACGCCGATTGCTTACCATCGGGTGATCCGTCTGCTCACTCAAATCCGATAAAAAAAAACTACAAAAGTCAAATTTTAAAAAGAATTTTATTACTTTTAAAATTTTACATAAATAAACATCTTAGGGCTAATTTTCCAACGCCAGATAACTATCGAAGGACTCGCTTATGTCACACGGTTTCACTCGCTGCTCGGCTCCTATTGATCGTAGCGTGATGTTTTATAGCCTATAGCCTTCCTTGATAAATGGACTATATAACACAAACAGAATAGGGATGATGACAGGGTATGAAAATTAAAAATCTAATTAGTCCGTAAGTTAGGTAAAGAAAAAATATTAGACACGTATTTTTTTATTTTGTCGTATAATAAAACAATACTTAGATAAAACGAATCAAAGTTTAGGAGTGGGGGCTAAAACGTCATTTCTACGTATAAAACGTACATAGAAGTGACGTCAAGCGACATTTCAAATCAATATATCGTCGAAAGCATTCGTTTCTGTAAGAAAATAAAAAATACGTGTCTAATGATTTAAAATAATCTACCAGACGGACATTAAAATAAAAATTAGGTATCTAGTTACAGAGATATGCGCGTTCGAAGTCTTCAGCTTTATAATATTGTAGAGACACATGTAAGATGTATGGCAGAGTGCAAGGCAAGCAAGAATGAATGAGAGCGTGAAGTAAGCGAGGAACAGAGTTAACGGTATAATGTCGGGAATAGGGTTTGAACGGCGAAAAGGGATGGAAGAGGGTTTAATCTATGAAGAATTTCCTTATATCTATTCACTAGCTACTTCCACGCGGTTTCACACGCTCTACTCAGCTCCTATTGGTCGTAGCGTGATATTTTATAGCCTATAGCCATCCTCGATAAATGCGCTATCCAACAAAAAAGAATTATTCAAATCAGACTTGTAGTTACGGAGATTAGCGCGTTTAAAAAACAAACAAAAAAACAAACTCTTCAGCTTTATATAATAGTATAAGAGTATAAGATTTGTCCTTATTCGCCGCTCGATCCCTATTCACCCCATTTTATGGTATTGCGCACTGGTCCGAACTCTTGGGGGTTTACGCAAAATATATCCGGTATCCGAGCGCCGTGTTTCACTGAACCCTATCGACCAGAAGGAGGGTAACTCAAATTAAGGATTTAAGCCTCGTATTCATGGTAAACATTTATTTAGGAACAATTGATCAACAATGGTGAGCGGTGAGAATGATACTAGTAACTATGTTAAAATCAATACAGGTTGCCTTTTTTTTTAAGGGGGGAAAATCATCGAATGACTGCTCCCGCCTGGGTGAGGCGGGAGGGAGTGTCAGACTCTTACTGACTAAAAACCACCCCGTTCCTTCTCCTGCACGTCGAGCCGGAGCCCCGGTTACCCGTTAGGTTCTCCGCGACATACAGGTTGCCTACATACCAGTCTGCGTTAAAATGTTGCCTGCGAGGTAGTGCTATTGTCGCTAAACTGATGTTTACGCTTGTCGGGCAAGAGCTTGTCAACATGATGCTATCGACTCAGCAACATGTTGACAGTAATTCTGCAACACGTTGATTCAATTTTGTTGCTAAACAAATGTTTACCATCAATACGGGGCTTTAACCCAACACACGAATCCCTATAATATTATAAATATAGATATTATCTGTTGGTTGGAAAATAACCCTTATAGTACAGTACATTTAAACTAAATTATTTTGACAGAATAGTAGGACAACCAATCGATAAGCAGCTACACATACAAAATTCATTCTGACTTTCTATAATTTAGGAATTATACACAATTATTTACATATTAGTTGTTGCCTGCGACTTCATCCGCCGTAAAATATAAATAATACTTAAATAACTCATTCTTGTTTCAATTTTCCAAAATAATAATAGTCTACGTTACTTCTTAGTCAGCTAACTGCCAGTACAAGTCCCGTCTTAATCGGTCCAGCCATTTCAGAGATTAGCCAGACAACATACAAACAGACAGACAAAAATTGTAAAAAATGTTATTTTGTTAGGGGGCGTCCATAAATTACGTGATACATTTGTGAGGGGGGAGGGGGTAGACTCAAATCTCGTCGCAGAGAACCTAACGGATTACCGGGGCTCCGACTCGACGTGTAGGAGAAGGAACGGAGTGGTTTTTAGTCAGTAAGAGTCTGACACTCCCTCCCGCCTCACCCAGGTGGGAGCAGGCATTCGATAATCTTCCCCCCTTAAAAAAAGACTCAAATCTCATCTAATCTTACGTTGGAGAGAGCATCTCGGCAAATATAACGTTTTTTTTTTCTGATAGAAACAAAAGAAAATTATTCTATTTTAGTTCATTTATTCCAGATTGTACATACACATGGATTTTTTTTCTTTTTGCAATAACAATCCAACGCGTTTACGTGAAACACCAACATTTTAAAAATCTCACGTGAGATTGGGGGATGGGGGAGGGTGTTGAATAAAATCTCACGAAATCTCACCAAGGGGGAGGGAGGGAAAGACAATTAAAAAACACCTCACGTAATTTATGGACGCCCCCTTATGTGTATCATATGGAAATTCATAAGCATGTAGTAAAAATCGGTTATTTTAATATTACAAACATACATTTGTATTGTAACTTGAGACATACTAAATAAATTATTATGTTTTCGGCTTACTCACGTAGTCTCGAGACTGTAGCCAGTAGCAGCGCGAGTCGCCGCGTCGCGGGTCGCGAAATGCTGCTCATGAATATGAGCCTCCAGCATGGCTTGAAACTAGTCGAGTTCCTCGTCAATTAATTACGTGAGTAAGCCGAAAACATAATAATTTAATTACAAACATACACTTCAATTTTATTTATCTGTATAGATTTGATGACTGTAGAATACAATACATTAGTGCCTTACTCTACCCGAAGGCATCTTACACCCGACCGAAGGAACTGATCGAAGATGTCTCAGAACTTCACCAAGTGTGAAAACTGTGACAAAATTCGAGGAAACTATATCTTTCTCTTCTTTAATAATATCTTCTGATATATTTCGTTGCGGGGTACAAGGCAGTTGTTCATGTCCCTGGGACGTTGGACTTCAGTGCTCCGGTGTTTGCATGGTTGTATCTACTGTTGCACAATACCCGAA